ATAGAAATAATCTTAATTTCCCACAGTGACCCTGTGAGATGTTGCTAATACATTTAATTATTTTTTCTTGAGCCTTTCCCCCTTTGGTTACTCTTACCCTTTTTATGACTCAGTTGAACACATTGCACCAGACCCCACGGCCCGCAGCTGGAGAGGGAAGGACGCCAGCGCCCATCGCTGTTTGGGCCCAAAGCCTCTGAACTTCGTTGCATGCATATTGTTGCGCTTTTGCGTGGCTCCCACGTCGTGCCACCGCCCCCCTCCCACCGCCTTTCAGGGGGTTCCGAGTACCATTTGGTTTGTGTGTGTGTTTGCAAGAAACACAGGATTTTGTGTGCATGAGTTTTGAATTTTTGCACGGGATGGTACGTCATTTACTGTGGAAAATAGCGCCGTGCTTTTGCCATCCGCCCATGTGTCTGCCGCGTGCACACTGGAGCAGTAGCTGCTGTGCGCTGCCTGGTATTCCCCAGGAGCACCCCGCTGTCGCGCCTACACCACCGGTCTCAGGGAGGATCGCCATGGTGCCTTCAGCTCACCCCACCACCGTTGTGCTGCCTTCTTGGCGTGTTCCCGTGTAGACAGCGTGGAGAACTGTTGTGGACTTAAGATTTATCGGAAATGAGTATTTGTAGACAATTTGGCTTAAGTATTAGCAGATTCTTCAGAGTGCTGCTTTCAGCCTGAGACTTTGATCAAAAGTTTAAAACAATTATTTTTATTTATTTACACAAGAGCTGGCTTGTAGGTCAGAGATACGTGTGTGTATGTGGCGGGGCAGGGGCTGTTGGTGGTGGTGAGGATTCATCAGAGACAGACTGGGGCGCAGAACAGGTCCATCTACTGAATCCCACTGCTGAGGGGAGCAGCAGGGAGACAGGAGGGGTCTGCTGCGCCCTGTGGGTCACTCTGGCTGGGGAGCGAATGCGGGCTGCATGGCTTAGTGCTGGTCATAGCTTGATGGTGTTGACTTGCTACCCCTGCACCACCTGGGAGGCCGCTGATCAAAAATGTCAACTCCTCTATACTCAGGATCCAGAAGAGGACTCTGTTGCACTCCTGCCATCCCCAAGACAATGGTGCCAGATTTCTGCCAGTGCTTATCTTTTTACAGCTTCCTGCTGCTTTGACAATATTTGAGACAACATTTCTCTGATTATTGTAGGACTTGGGTAGCTCTATGTTTGTTAGCCTTTCTGGTTGCTTTTCATGTGCTTGGTCCACTTTCCCATTGGGTTATTGTCTTTTTCTTGTCAGTTGTTGAGAGAGCTGTGGCCATTCCTGTTGGTTTAAGAAATTGCACTCTTCTGTGTCAATTTTGGCCTTTCGTATTATTTTGGAAATTTAGTCACTTAATCGGCGTTTTCAAATTTATAGTTGTTAATGCTATCTTATTACTTAAGTTTGACATCTTTTTCTTTCTAGTTTTTACTTTATTATATTTGCACCTTCTTTCTGTTCATTAGATTTGTTTGAGAATTATGATATTAATATTGTCAATTGTTGAATGTTAGTTTTTGATAATTTTGTTTTCTATTTCAGTGATATCTGCATATCTGTCTTTTTTGGGGGGCAATGGTGGTGGAATGCTTTGTTGCACCTTATACAACTTCTTGAGTTGATTCATGAACATATTTTTAAATGCTTTGTTTCCTGATAAGTATATTTAAATCATAAATTTTCTTCTAAATACTGCCGAGTTAGGTCCCGAATTTCAACATATGACTAAAAACCGCTTGCATTTTGAAGTGATTCTTTGCTGAGAAGAGAGATAACAACCTTTTTTGCAGCTTCCTGGTGGGGACATCTTATAACTGCCGTCTTTAAGCAGGAACTTGACATTGGCACAACTCATCACCAGACTACAGACCTTCCTTATTTCAGTTTTCACCAAATTTACATGCATGTGTGTGTGATATGTAGCATGTTCATTATTCAGTTCTAAATACTTTAAAATATTCTCTTCAAACTAAGGGTTGCTTAGTAATATGTCAGTTTTCACATGCACCTTTGTTCAGATCTCATTTTCTCTGACTGGAGAACAACTTGCATAATAGTAATCTTTTGAATGGACCATATCCCTCTGCCCAGCACTGGAAGGACCTATGCAGGAGAGTGAGAGTTGTGATTTGAGAAACTAATGTGCTGGGCTTAGCTTAGGTAGGAGTGAAGATGATGAGGTTGGAGAGACTGTCTCTGAAGGTCAGGGGCCCTACGCCACAGAAACTGAAAGTCATCTTTCTGCTCCAGAATCAGTGAGCCAGAGAGAGACAGGTGGACATTCGGGGACTGACAAGAACCTAACTTGAGATCTAGATTGAAATTGATTCCAGGTTGACCTCTACCATCCAGGAACCAGACACAGGACCATGGCACACCAGCATTTGAAATCTGTGCAGCTCTTCTGCCTCCTAGGGGCCATCTCCACTATGCCTCGTATGTCCTATCTGGCTGGGTACTTTGGGACTCCCAGAGGGTAGAATCATGGATTCATGTCACTGGGGAAAGGAGGGCTTGGTGTCTGAACTCCTTAGGGTTCTGACAGACTCTATGGGGGCTGGGTTCTTGGTTGGCACTTCAGGGGCTGAGAAGGCAGATGACTGCAAGAACATTCTCTTCTCAGGGGTTGGGGCTCTTTTGTGCTATGAAGCAACATCCTCACTCTTCAGAGCTGTTACCCTCCATAACTGGAAGTGGCTTCTATTGAGGAGCATGGTGTGTAAGTTGAATGAGGGCTGCGAGGAGACTCTGGTGCTCATCGAGACAGGTGAAGGGAAATGGCTTTGAGACATTTCTATTTGTTTCCTCTCCTACTCTCCACCTCTATCCCTGTACCTAGAGACTCTTGACTTGAGTTCTAGATATTTGTCCCATTGTCTTGTTGAACATTACATAATGGCAGTTGGCTGTGATGTGGGTGGGATGAGTGAGCAGATTCCAGGAGGAGGGGGCTATTGGGAGACATAAAAAGGATGGAACAGAAGGGAGAGAGGAGCAAAGGGACGCCTTTGGGGGGATGAGTGAGGAAGATGTAGTTGGAGACCCCAGGGACTGAGCCCAATACAGCTGCAGTGAGTAGACACTGGGAGAGAGGCAGAGCTGGTGACGGGAAGGAGCAAGGTAGAGGGTGGATGTGATGATGCTGGGTGAGGCTGACCACACTGATCAGAACTGTCTAATTCCATGCTCCTCAGGGACCAGAAAGGGAGTTGTAGGTTTTAAAGGCTGCAGCCCAATTCCATCTTACCCCCAGCAAGTCTCCTACCTCGTTTCACCACCTGGAGTGTCCATTGCCTCCTACAGCCGTGTGTGCCGGACATATCTCTGCAACAACCTTACCAGCTTGGATCCTTTCGTGCAACTCAAGGCCAACACTCCGCAGACTATAGCATATTCTCCCCAGAGTTGCCCAACCTGTGTGGGTGGGCGCTCTACAGATTGTTTGCCAAATTTTGTCACCACTGAACCTTGTCCCTATGATGCATCTATGTGTTACAGTTCTACCTTAAAATTTCAGGCAGGTGAGAGGAGAGAAACTTTATTAAATTCTTACTTTATGCTGTCTAGTATTTCCCATCTCTGAGAGAAGAGTGGGGGAGGTGGAGATGGAATTGGGGTTGCAGGGACCAGGCACATGAACTCTAAGGAGGAAGGAGAAGGGTGTCTGGTGCCCCAGGGTCTGGAGGGAAAGCAGGTGTCCTGGTTTGTGAGGTATATCTGGAAGGAAGGACATGGCCTGAGTCTTTCAAGTGTCCCTGACTCCTTCCTCTCTTCCTTGCAGGGTTTCTGAATACCACCTTTCTCCTCATGGGCTGTGCTTTTGAGCAGAACAAAATTTTAACAAAATTTCAGAATATTGGGAGTATGAGAGTTACTGAGGTCATCAACATCTTAGAGAAGGCCCAGTTTGCTGGTGCACAGCCCTCCGCTTTGCGTCCTGCTTGGGCCATCCTCTCAGGCCTCCTGCTTGCCTTCCGGCATTGACCATGTTGCTGGACCAAACACAGAGAGCCCTTTATATAACCAAATAAATTCTAAAAATTGTCTTTCTGCTTTGTCCTGTGGTCCATAAGTGTTGTGGAGACATGGGAGGTGTGAGGAGGGCTAAATATGTCCAGGGAGGTGGTGGCAGGGCTGGAAATGGGTTGTGCACATGGTGAAGGGAGGAGGCCAGATGGGGAGGAGGATTGTTGGCAAAATAACTGCATCAAGGCCAGCAACCAGGAAGGCTGCAGATATTCTTTTTCTCTCTTTCTCTGGGAACCTGCACTCCAGCCTGGCCTCAGCCCCTGACATGGGATATCCTGGTCCAGTCTCTCCCCTTTTTCGACCTTGTTTTCCTTCCCTCTAAAATTAAGGACCTTATGAATTAGAGCTAAATCTCACCAGGCAATTTTTCAATATGATCACTTGAGTGTCTATTCTGAATTCTTGAGTGTCAGATGCTGAATTAGGTTTTTTTAAAAAAAGGTTTATTTATTTATGCATACAGAACTGGGGTACAGGCCAGAGGTTCAGGGGCAGAGAGAGTATTCACCAGAAACAGAGCGGGGAGCAGAACAGGTAGGTGGACAAAGTACACTGCTGAGGGGAGCATAAGGAGAGGCAGGAGAGGTCTGCTCTTGCTGCTGTGCAGTATGGATCACCTCTGGGGCAGGGGTCGAACTCACACTGAGGCGGCCATGGCATGGCTTAGCTTCTCATTGCAGTGCTCCAACCTGCTGCACCAGGGAGGGCCCCCGAACTGTTTTTTTTTTTTTGTTAAATATTTACGTTCAAAGAACTGGGGTACAGGCCAGAGGCATGGGGGAGAGAGGATTTGCCAGAGACAGAGTGGGGAACAGGCATATTGACAAAGTACACTCCTGAAGGTAGCAGCAGGTGGGTCAAAAGAGGTCTGCCACACCATATGGGTCAGTTCCATGGCTGGGGATGGAACTTGTGCTTTAGTGGCTTCGGAGAGCTTCATAATGTGGTGCTTTAATCCGTTGTACCACCAGGGAGAGCCCTGGTTTTTAAAAGCTTTTTTTTTTTTAATATTTATTTATGCACACAGAATTGGGGTACAAGCCAGAGGTGCGGGACCAGTGAGAGGATTCACCAGAGACAGAGAGGGGAGCAGAACAGGCAGATAGACAAAATATACTACTAAGGAGAGCAACAGGTGGGTCAGGAGAGGTCTGCCATGCCTTGTGGATCACCTCTGGGGCTGGGGATTGAACTTGCACTGAAGCAGCTGTGGCCAGCTTGCAGTGCTACATCCTAACCCGTTGCGCCACCAGGGAGGGGCCTTTATTCTTAAAGATGTATGTATTTTTGCATAGAAAAATGGATTGCAGGCCATAGGTGCAGGGGGCGAGAGGAGGGAGCAGAGTGGGGAGCAGAGCAGGTGTATCTATAGAAACACACTGCTGAGGGGAGCAGTGGGGAGACAGGAGAGGCCTGCTGCACCCTGTGGTTCAGCTCCCTGGCTGGGGGTTGAACTTGTGCTGCACTGGCTGCGACAGCGTCATAGTGCTGTGCCCCTTGCACCACGAGGGAGGCCCTGCGATGCTGAGCTATTTTCTTAAGAGTTTTTCACGTGGGATCCCATTTAGTTCCCAAAGACTTCAGTGAGAATTCCTATTTTGCAAAAATGAAACTGGCTGGAGGAAATTAAATAACCTGCCCAGAGTAGAATCCCCCTTGCCTCCCCTGCAGATCACTCACTGTTCTTGGAGAGGGAATTTTGTTGATTTGGAAATGTGGACTGCCTTCCTCTGCCCATGGTTATTTCTTTGTGTAAGTTAACAAATATGGAGGAAAAGAGGAAGGAGCAGCACTAGGATAACTAATTTTCACCCAAAGCTCAGTTTCCAAGCTTCTGGGAGAGGGCTGTGTCTTTCCCCTCTGTGGCCACATGAGGACAGCAGATACAACCTCTTTGCAATTTCACACCTTTTGAATGTGTGTAGGGATGGGTAGTAGAGGTAGTGAGTCTCTGTATTAGGCTATTTACCTTAGTGAGCGTGGTTAAATTCTCTCCATTTTATAGTGAAGTGGGGAAGCAGACATGTAAGGTATTTTTGCTGTAAGTATTTGCTGTGCATCACCCCACTCATTCACTCTTAACTATATACAACCTTAGCAAATAGATATTGTCATTTTGTATTTCCATCTTACAGGTCAAGAAAGAAGTTGAACTACATGAGACCCCAGAGCTGGTCTTTTTTTGATCACTTGGACAAGTCGGGTCTGAAGCACCCGTACTTGCAGTTGGCCTCAGAAATTAAGACTGGCATGAAGACCTGGATTACTATGGCAGTAAAGTTGTGGTAAGTAGAATAAGTAAATACACTATACTCATCAATCCAAAGGCACAGAGTGACTGGTTGGATTAAGGTACAGAATCCAGCCCTCCCTGGTGGCACAGCAGGTTAAGACACAGCATTGCAAGCTGGCTGCAGCCACTTCAGTGTGAATTCTATTCCAGCCCAGGAGGTGATCCACATGGTGTGGCAGACCTCTCCTGACCCTCCCACTGCGCCCCTCAGCAGTGTACTTATTGATCTGCCTATTCTGCTCCTCACCCTGTCACTGATGAATCCTCTCACCGCCCCTGCACCTCTGGCTTACACCTGAGTTCTCTATGAATGAATAAATAAATAAATCTTAAAAACAAAACAAAACAAAACAAAACAGAATCTAACTATCTGCTATCTTCAGGAAACACACCTGCGTTCCTAAATAAACATAGGCTCAGAATAAATGGTTGGGAAACAACCCTATAAGAAAATAGAGCCCAAAGAAAGGATTTTTAATAAATATTTATTTATTTATGCATACAGAACTGGGGTATAGGCCAGAGAAGCAGGGGTGGTAAGAGGATTCACTGGATACAGAGTGGGGAGCAGAACAGGCAGATTGACAAGTACACTGCTGAGGGGAACAGAAGGTGAGTCGGGAGAGGTCTCCATGCCATGTGGATCATCTCCCTAGCTGAATTAGTGCTGACGCAGCTGCAGCTAGCTTCATAGGGCTGCACTTTAATCCGTTGCCCCAGCAGGGAGGGCCCAGAAAGGTAGGATTTTTTAAAATAATAACTGTGGTGAATAATTAGATAAGTAGAAAATTTGAAAAGTGATATTCAGATATTCTGTTCTGGTTTTCTCCCCTAAGCTTGTCCCCAGAGGTAAAGAAAATACACATACAACCCTTTAAATACCTTTACCAACCCCAAAGATTTGAATGTGGGCCATGTTTCTTTAAAATGAAACTTCAGGGAATTATTAATAACAGAAAAAGCAAAAAGATGCCACCAGTCTTTCTGTTTCACTTTAGTAGTAGCTGCTATGAAAATTGTTGCCCCATTGTGTGTAGTACTTTCCATGATGACCTGGCCACATTCTTTATGTTTTGCGCCGGTTTTTGATGGCCGAAGGTGGAGCTATTCCAAAGTAACTGCTGAGATAAAGCCAGCTCCTAATGCTCTTGTTCTGCTTTTCCCTCCCTGCCTAGGCTCTGGTTATAGCCTCTGTGGGTTGCTTGTCAGGGAATCCATTTGTCAGTTTATAAAGAACTTACATGTATAAAGGAGTTACAAATCTGTCGATTGATATAAAGGAATTTCCTGACAATTGGCTCATGTTAAATGCTTTAATAACACCGGCACTTCCCAATCAAGAGCCTTCACCGCCTTGGTTACCCTAGTTCTGAAACATTTGATTCTTTTTGAAGTGATTGGGAATGGAATTATTTTCTTTATTTCATTATCTTCTGTTGCTTGTCTATAAAAAAGACTTCAGATTTTTTAACTTGGATTTTGTAACTTTCACTTTGTTGAGTTCATTGCCTATTCCTATTATCTGTTTGGTATTGGTATATCCTTTTGGGTTTTCTCTATACAATAATACATCTGGGACTAGTAGGCTTGTGGATTTTTGGTCCTTCTGGCTGCTGAGGTCTGTCATGTGGGCTGCCCATGGACTTCAAGGTGACCCCAGATTTTGGAGTTCAAATGCTCTTTTTGGGCTGGTACTAGGGCCAGATTGGGGACAGTGTATATCCCCACTAGGGAGGTGTGTGATCTGAGGGAATCATGATTGTCTCCCTGTGCCAGCACCCAGAGCCTGGATCTCCACTTCTCCCTGCAGGGGCCTTGCCTTCTGGCGTAGGGTGGTTCCCTATTTAGCCCCTGCCAGCCCTCTACCCTGACAGCAGATACTGTCCTCCTTCCACTATCCAGTAGGGCACAACCCTCTGGACACAAAATTGTGATTGAGAAGAATCTGGAAGGTGTCTAAGGGAGGAGGAACAAATGTTTCATTGCCTCCTCTGAGGTGGCAGTGAATTGGGACACAAGTCCTTCGTGTCTCTTGGGGGTAACCCACTTATATTTCTGGGCAGAGAGAATCTCACTGTGGGCCACAGAATTGAGGTTCTCCCAGGACTTGTGCTTTGCCCACCCCTCCAGGCAGAACTAGGTGTCTCATGTCCCATACATAGCCTCTGACAGGAATGTGCTGACCTTGTGAGATCTGTCTTAGGCTCTCACTGCTATTCCAGGACAAATAGGACAAACAAACTCTTTGTAGATGGACCATTGTGAGCAGGTGTGGTCAAGCTCTTTCTGTAAAATATGGGGAGCCAGAGTCCCTGACATTCTTTCTCAAGCTAATGATCAGGGATGTTTTCTGCTCCCCCTCAGACACATGACCTAGGACTTAGTCCTCAAAACATACTTCAAAGAGGAGGTTGGGCCAGGGATAGAGGAAGAAAGACAGAATGTCCTGAGGTGCACAGGCAGGAAGTAGTCAGCAACCACAGGACTGTTGGCTGAACCACAGGTGCCTCCTCTTGGATGGTGTGCCCAGGACTTGCCCTTGGGAGGGAGAGCCAGCAGGACCCAGATGAAACCTATGTAGCCACTGCCCACAAATCTCACCACCTTGCTTTATGAGGGTGCAACTTTCCTCCAACCTCTTCTCTTTGTTTGCTCCTGTGCA